GATGGAGAGTTGAAATAAAAAACATTAAGAGGGAATCCTGATGCTCAGAGATCTACCTTGCTCAGGGTTACACAATCAGAAGTGGTGCGGCCAAAATTTGAGCCCAAATGACTTCAATGTCTGTGGTCTTTCCAGAATACCACCTTTCTCAAGGACATTATCAGGCTTAAACATACACATTTTCCAAGATACAAGGCTATAGGAGCCCTTCTCAGATGGGTCAAATTTTATTATGCTTTGTTTTAAAAGAAATCCAATTAGGTTTGGATGTGTGTATGTACGTATGTACACAGCAAGGTAAACTGCCAAACAGGGACAGCTTCGAGCCTATTAACTCAGTATCTTTTTTTTTTTTTTTCTTTTTCTTTTTGAGACAGAGTCTCGCTCTGTCACCCAGGCTGAAGTGCAGTGGCACCATCTTGGCTCACTGCAAACTCTGTCTCCCGGGTTCAAGAAATTCTCTGCCTCAGCCTCCTGAGTAGCTGGGATTACAGGTGCCCGCCATCAGGTCTGGCTAATTTTTTTGTATTTTTAGTAGAGATGGGGTTTCACCAACTTGGCCACGCTGGTCTTGAATTCCTGACCTCATGATCCACCCACCTTGGCCTCCCAAAGAGCTGGGATTACAGGAGTGAGCCACCATGCCTGGCCTCAGTATCTTTTTTTGAAGATTTGCAAGTAACTTATTCTACAAGCCAAGGAAGTTTATAGTTCTCATGATTACATATCTTACCTGGACAACTCTAAGAAAGGACTAAGAAAAATTGTTTTTGGCTGGACACAGTGGCTCACACCTGTAATCCCAACACTTTGGGAGGCCAAGGTGGGGAATCACCTGAGGTCAGGAGTTCAAGACCAGTCTGGCCAACAGTGTGAAACCCTGTCTCTACTAAAAATACAAAAATTAACTGGGCATGACGGTGCACGCCTGTAATCCCAGCTACTTGGGAGGCTGAGGCAGAATTGCTTGAAACTGGGAGGCAGAGGTTCACAGTGAGCCAAGATCACATCACTGCACTCCAGCCTGGGTGACAGAGTGAGACTCCACTTCAAAAACAAACATTAAAAAAAAAAAAGAAAAACTTTTTAAAAGCAGTTCCTGGAGCAAATGCTATTCAAGCTTAGCCTTTCAGGGAATTCTATAGCTATTCTGAGTATGGAACAGGAACTCAAAACTCCTACATTTTTAGGACTATAATCTATGTGGCCGAACACAAATCACCTTGCTCATGAGAACATTTTACTATAAGCGTGAGCTAGCATAATATAAAGGGCAAACCTGCACCTAACAGGATCCCCCATTCCTCTTCAGTTAGACCAAGTTCTCAAGTTCTTTAATATGGTTGTTGGATCTGAACATAGACTACAGGGGACAAAGAAGTCAGCACTAAGGTACCTAGGGCACCAACCAGGGGATCTGAACTTTGAATCACACAAGGTAGGGCCAGTGTTTTATTAAAAATATATCTGATATTAATGACATAGGAAATATCTAACATTAATATTTTAATGTTTACACAGAATACAAAGCTATTTACATTTAGGATGCTAACTTTATATAAATGATTGACACAAACAGAAAGGCATCAAAGTGATTACAACGAAATGATTATCTTTCAGTGATGAGATTATAGGTAATTTTTCTTTCTTTTTTTTTTGGAGACGGAGTCTCACTCTGTTGGCCAGGCTGGAATGCAGTGGCACGATCTTGGCTCACTGCAACCTCCGCCTCCCAGATTCAAGCTGATTCTCCTGCCTCAGCCTCCCGAGTAGCTGGGATTACAGGCACGTGCCACCACACCCGGCTAATTTTTTAGTTTTAGTAGAAACGGGGTTTCACCATGTTGTCCAAGCTGGTCTCCAACTCTTGATCTCAGGTAATTCACCTGCCTTGGCCTCCCAAAGTGCTAGAATTACAGGCGTGAGCCGCCACACCTGGCCAGTATAATTTCTCTTCTTTAATACTGTCTGTATTGTTCAAATTTTCTACCATGTTAATGCATTTTTTTTTTTTTTTTTTTTGTCAGAGTCTTGCTCTGTCCCCCAGGCTAAAGTGCAGTGGTGCGATCTCAGCTCACTGCAACCTCCACTTCCTGGGTTCAAGTGATTCTCCTGCCTCTGCCTCCCAGCCACAGGTGCCTGCCACCGCACCCAGATAACTTTTGTATTTTTAGTAGAGACAAAGTTTTATCATGTTGGCCAGGCTGGTCTTGAACTCCTGATCTCGTGATCCACCCACCTTGGCCTCCCAAAGTGCTGGGATTACAGCGGGCTAGAGCACAGTGGTGTGATCTCGGCTCACTGCAACCTCTGCCTCCCGGGTTCGAGTGATTCTCCTGCCTCAGTCTCCAGAGTAGCTGGGACTACAGGCACACTCCACCATGCCCAGATAATGTTTGTATTTTTAGTAGAGACAGGGTTTTACCATGTTGGCCAGGATGGTCTCGATCTCTTGACCTCATGATCCGCCTGCCTCGGCCTTCCAAAGTGCTTGGATGATTACAGGCGTGAGCCACCATGCCTGGCCCCGCCTTTTTTTTTTTTTTTAACCAACCTCTTCCCATATCCCCATCTCTGCTACACTCCCTAGCCTTTGGTGTCTACTATTCTACTCCACTTCTGTGCATTATAATGAAGAAAAAAGCAGGTGGTGGCTCGCACTTGTAATCCCAGGGCTTTGGGAGGCTGAGGCGGGAGGATCACTTAAACCAGAGAGTTTGAGACCAGCCTGGGCAGCAAAGTGAGACCTCATCTCTACTAAAAATTAAAAAAATTTAAAAGGCCAGGTACAGTGACTCACGCCTGTAATCCAAGCACTTTGGGAGGCCGAGGCGGGTGGATCACAACGTCAGGAGATCGAGACCATCCTGGCTAACATGGTGAAACCCCATCTCTACCAAAAATACAAAAAATTA